GGATACATCATATCTTGGGTCACAAATCAAGCCTTGGTAAATTTAAGAAAATTGAAATTGTATCAAGTACCTTTCCTGACCACAATGCTATGAGACTAGATATCAATTACAGGAAAAGATCTGTAAAAAAGACAAACACATGAAGCCTAAACAATACACTACTTAATAACGAAGTGATCACTGAAGAAATCAAAGAGGAAATAAAAAAAAATCTAGAAACAAATGACAATGGAGACACGACGACCCAAAACTTATGGGATGCAGCAAAAGCAGTTCTAAGGGGGAAGTTTATAGCAATACAAGCCCACCGTAAGAAACAGGAAACATCTCGAATAAACAACCTAACCTTGCACCTAAAGCAATTAGAGAAAGAAGAACAAAAAACCCCCAAAGTTAGCAGAAGGAAAGAAATCATAAAAATCAGATCAGAAATAAATGAAAAAGAAATGAAGGAAACGATAGCAAAGATCAATAACACTAAAAGCTGGTTCTTTGAGAAGATAAACAAAATAGATAAACCATTAGCCAGACTCATCAAGAAGAAAAGGGAGAAGACTCAAATCAATAGAATTAGAAATGAAAAAGGAGAAGTAACAACAGACACTGCAGAAAAAAAAAGATCATGAGAGATTACTACAAGCAACTCTATGCCAATAAAATGGACAATCTGAAAGAAATGGACAAATTCTTAGAAATGCACAACTGTGAAGACGGAAACAGGAAGAAATAGAAAATATGAACAGACCAATCACAAGCACTGAAATTGAAACTGTGATTAAAAATCTTCAAACAAACAAAAGCCCAGGACCAGATGGCTTCACAGGCGAATTCTATCAAACATTTAGAGAAGAGATAACACCTATCGTTCTCAAACTCTTCCAAAATATAGCAGAGGGAGGAACACTCCCAAATTCATTTTATGAGGCCACCATCACCTTGATACCAAAACCAGACAAGGATGTCACAAAGAAAGAAAACTACAGGCCAATATCACTGATGAACATAGATACAAAAATCCTCAATAAAATACTAGCAAACAGAATCCAACAGCACATTAAAAGAATCATACACCATGATCAAGTGGGGTTTATTCCAGGAATGCAAGGATTCTTCAATATTTGTAAATCTATCAATGTGATAAACAATATTAACAAATTGAAGGAGAAAAACCTTATGATCATCTCAATAGATGCAGAGAAAGCTTTTGACAAAATTCAACACCAATTTATCATAAAAACCCTGCATAAGGTAGGCATAGAGGGAACTTTCCTCAACATAATAAAGGCCATATATGACAAACCCACAGCCAACATCATCCTCAATGGTGAAAAACTGAAAGCATTTCCAATAAGATCAGGAACAAGACAAGGTTGCACACTCTCACCACTCTTATTCAACATAGTTTTGGAAGTTTTAGCCACAGCAATCAGAGAAGAAAAGGAAATAAAAGGAATCCAAATCAGAAAAGAAGAAGTAAAGCTGTCACTGTTTGCAGATGACATGATACTATACATTGCAAATCCTAAAGATGCTACCAGAAAACTACTAGAGCTAAGCAATGAATTTGGTAAAGTAGCAGGATACAAAATTAATGCACAGAAATCTCTGGCATTCCTATACACTAATAATGAAAAATCTGAAAATGAAATCAAGAAAACACTCCCATTTACCACTGCAACAAAAAGAATAAAATATCTAGGAATAAACCTACCTAAGGAGACAAAAGACCTGTATGCAGAAAATTATAAGACACTGATGAAAGAAATTAAAAATGATACAAATAGATGGAGAGATATGCCATGTTCTTGGATTAGAAGAATCAACATTGTGAAAATAACTCTACTACCCAAAGCCATCTACAGATTCAGTGCAATCCCTACCAAACTGCCACTGGCATTTTTCACAGAACTAGAACAAAAAATTTCACAATTTGTATGGAAGCACAAAAGATCCAGAATAGCCAAAGCAATCTTGAGAACGAAAAACGGAGCTGGGGAAATCAGCCTCCCTGACTTCAGAGTATACTACAAAGCTACAGTAATCAAGGCAGTATGGTACTGGCACAAAAACAGAAAGATCAATGGAACAGGATAGAAAGCCCAGAGATAAACCCACGCACCTATGGTCACCTTATCTTTGATAAAGGAGGCAGGAATGTACACTGGAGAAAGGAAAGCCTCTTCAATACGTGGTGCTGGGAAAACTGGACATGTAGGTACATGTAAAAGTATGAGATTAGATCACTCCCTAACACCATACACAAAAATAAGCTCAAAATGGATTAAAGACCTAAATGTAAGGCCAGAAACTATCAAACTCTTAGAGGAAAACATAGGCAGAACACTCTATGACATAAATCACAGCAAGATCCTTTTTGACGCACCTCCTAGAGAAATGGAAATGAAAACAAAAATAAACAAATGGGACCTAATGAAACTTAAAAGCTTTTGCACAGCAAAGGAACCCATAAACAAGCCCAAAAGAGAACTCTCAGAATGGGAGACAATATTTGCAAATGAAGCAACTGACAAAGGATTAATCTCCAAAGTTTATATGCAGCTCAATAACAAAAAAACAAACAACCCAATCCAAAAATCGGGAGAAGACCTAAATAGACATTTCTGCAAAGACGATATACAGACTGCCAACAAACACATGAAAGAATGCTCAACATCATTAATCACTAGAGAAATGCAAATCAAAACTACAATGAGATGTCATCTCACACCAGTCAGAATGGCCATCATCAAAAAATCTAGAAACAATAAATGTTGGAGAGGGTGTTGAGAAAAGGGAACACTCTTGCACTGCTGGTGGGAATGTGAATTGGTTCAGCCACTATGGAGAACAGTATGGAGTTTCCTTAAAAAACTACGAATAGAACTACCATATTACCCAGCAATCCCACTACTGGGAATATACCCTGAGAAAACCATAATTCAAAAAGTGACATGTATCAAAATGTTCATTGAAGCTCTATTTACAATAGCCCGGAGATGGAAACAACCTAAGTGTCCATCATCAGATGAATGGATAAAGAAGATGTGGCACATATATTCAATGGAATATTACTAAGCCATAAAAAGAAACGAAATTGAGCTATTTGTAATGAGGTGGGTAGACCTAGAGTCTGTCATACAGAGTGAAGTAAGTCAGAAAAAAAAAGAGAAATACTGTATGCTAACACATATATATGGAATTTAAGAAAAAAAATATCATGAAGAACCTAGGGGTAAGACAGGAATAAAGACACAGACCTACTAGAGAACGGACTTGAGGATATGGGGAGGGGGAAGGGTGAGCTGTGACAAAGCAAGAGAGAGGCATGGACATATATACACTACTAAACGTAAGGTAGATAGCTAGTGGGAATCAGCCGCATAGCACAGGGAGATCAGCTCAGTGCTTTGTGACCGCCTGGAGGGGTGGGATAGGGAGGGTGTGAGGGAGGGAGACGCAAGAGGGAAGAGATATGGGAACGTATGTATATGTATAACTGATTCACTTTGTTATAAAGCAGAAACTAACACACAATTGTAAAGCAATTATACCCCAATAAAGATGTTAAAAAAAAGTACAGAGCTATCTTCCTGATGAATATATATGGATATAAAAATTCTCAGTAGAATATTACGAAAGCAAATCTAGAAATATATAAAAAGAATTATATACCATGACCAGTTGAGATTTATCTCAGGACTGCAAGGTGGGTTTAAAACATGAAAATCAGCTAATGTAATTCACCGTATTAATAGGATAAATGGGAAAATTGCACGATCATCTCAATAGATGTAGAAAAATCATTTATCAAGATCCCTCATCACCTACTGACATACAGCCCTACCCACAATTCAACTTCCCTCTCACACGAAGGCTATTACCTTTCATCTCTCCTACCTTCACAGCCTCACCCTGACTCATCTCCTCTGCACCCCTACTTATCTATCTCACCACCCCGACCCATCATCCTTCTCTCTCTCACCAGCCTTCCCTGGCCACTCATTTCCTTAACCCTGTTATGTTGTTCACAGCCCATTCCCATCACCAGCAATAATACTGTCCTCTTCCTGACTAATATCATCCATGATACACTTAGGTAGTGGCAATTTGATGTCCTGCTTCTTGAAGGCCTGTAGCAGTCTTAAACAACAGAAATTTATTTCTCATAGTTATAGAGGCTGGGAAGTCCAAGATCAAGTTGCCAGCATGATTACATTCTGATGAGGTCCCTTTTGCTGGTTCACAGCAAGCACCTTCTCACTGTGTCCTCATTTTCATCTGAAACTTCATCAGAATGGCTTTTATCATCCATATTTCTACCAACATTCTCTTCATGACCACTTAGGTATTCTCTAAGAAGATTGGGTGTCTCTATACAGCCCTCATCTTTTCCTTCTGGGCAATTCAGTAGAATTGCCTTTGAACGTCTGTTCACAGCAATGCAGGCTTTTTCTGGCATGCACCTCCAAACTCTACTCATCTCCCAGTTCCAAAGCTGCTTCCACATTTTTAGGTATTTGTAACGTCAGCACCCCTATTTCTCAATTTTCTGTCTTAGTCCATTTGGGCTGCTATGGTAAAATACCACAGACTGGGTGGCTTATAAACAACAGAGTTTTATTTCTCACAGTTCTGGAGGCTGGAAGTCCAAGGTCAGGGTGCCAACATAGTCAGATTTTGGTGAAAGCCTTCTTCCAGGTTGCAGACTTCTGACTTCTTACTGTAACCTCACATGGCTGAAGGGGTTAGGGAGCTTTGCAGGGTCTCTTTTATAAGGGCACTAATTCCATTCATGAAGGCTCCACCCTCATAACTTAATCACCTCCCCAATACCATCAAATACCAAAACCTTTGGGGGTTAGGATTTTAACATGTAAATTTGGGGGAGACACAAAAAATCAGACTACAACAATAACCTTAAATAAAATATAGTGTTTGTCTCAATTATATAGAGTCATCTATAAATAATACTCAGACGAAATATGCTAAAAGTTAATTGGTTATCTCTGGCTGGTGGGATTGTGAGTGATTTTCCTCCTGCTTTATACTTTTCTGTACTTTTAACTTTTCTACAGCAGGCAACTTGTATATTGGAGTGGGGAGGAGGTCAACAAAATAATTTGGAAAAAGGTAATAAAAGAAGTCAGAAGGGTGATGGGGGTTTGTAAAAGCAGAGCTCACTGAAGACAGATTCCAACAAACTGCCTGGTGGAAAGGGTGGGGACAATGGGAGAAGATCCCAAAGTGAGCTGGGGAAAGCCTTCACTTCTTGTCGTGTTCACCGTGCTGGGACCAGGAGGAACAAAGACACATGAAGATCATAGATGAGACCACGGCCCAGCTACAAGACCTGAAGAATCAGCACCTGGCCAGGAAGTCAGAGGTGAATGACAAGAACCACGAAATGGAGGAGATTCGTAAGAAACTGGGGGGTGCCAACAAGTGAGTGGGTTCAGGCCTCGGCTTGGAAGTACGTAGTATTGGCAGCTTGCTGGACTTGGGTCTCACCTATCTCTCTGGTTCATTTTAGGGAAATGACCCATTTACAGAAGGAGGTAACAGCCATTGAGACCAAGCTTGAACAGAAACGCAGTGACCACCACAACCTGCTACAGGCCTGCAAGATGCACTGTCTAAGGGCACCATGGACGATATTAGTCAGGAAGAGGTGAGTATTATTGCTGGTGGTGGGTGTGGGCTGTGAACAACATAACCAGGAATGGGGGATGAAGGTGGCTAGGGAGGGAAGGTGAGAGAGAGAGAGAAAAGGATGGTGGGTGCAGGTGATGAGAGACAAAAGGACGGATGCAGGGGAGATGAGGCAGGGTGAGGCTGTGAAGGCAGGTGAGGTGAAAGGTAATAGCCTTGGTGTGAGAGGGCAGTTGTTGGGGGATAGGGCTGTAGAGTATTTTTCCCCCAAGAGGACATCTGGCAATGTCTGAAGTCCCCGTTTCTTTGTCACAACTGGGGTAGGGGTCACTACCAGCATCTAGTGGGTAGGTATGAGGCATGCTGCTAAACCTCCTATAGTGCACAAGATGGTAAAACATGGCCCCAAACGTTGATAGTGCCAAGATTTGGAAACTGTTTTAGAGATACATAGTGGAGTATTTGTGGTTGAAATGATATATCTAGGCTTTGCTTTAAAACAATTTGAGTATAGGAAGAGGTAATGAGAGAATGTTAGCTATGAGTTGATAAATATTTTTTCTAGCTTCATTAAGATATAATTGACATATAAAATGGTGTAAGTTTTAGGTGTACAATGTGATGTACAATGTGATTTCACATGTATATATTGTGAAATGTTTACCACAATAAGGATAGGTAACACATCCTTTACCTCACATAATTGCCATTTTACTGTTGTTACGGTGAGAACATAAAAGCTCTACCCTCATAACAACTTTCAAGTATACAGTACAGTATTGCTAACTATAGTTACATTAAGTCCCCCAAACTTATTCATCTTATAATGGAAAGTTTGTACCCATTGACCAAAATCTCCCAATTTCCCTCAACCTTCAGCCCCTGGAAACCTCCCTGCTACTCTTTGTTTCTATAAATTCAATGTTTTTAGATTCCACATATAAATGAGATCATACAGTTTCTGTGTTTCTCTGACTTATTTCATTTAGTGTAATGCCCTCAAAGTCCATCCACATTGTCGCAAATGGCAGAATTGGCTTCTTTTTACGACTAAATATTATTCCATTATATATATACCACATTTTCTTTATCTATTTATCCAATGATGGAAAAGTTTCCATGTCTTGGCTATTGTGAATAATGCTTCAATAAACATGGGAGCGCAGATATCTCTTCAAGATTGTGATTTCATTTCCTTTGAATACATATCCAGAAGGGGAATTGCTGGATCATATGGTAGTCCGAATTTTAATTTTTTGAGGAAACTCCATATCGTTTCCGATAGTCATTGTACCAGTTTACATTCCCACCAACAATGACCAAGGGTTCCTTTTTCTCCACATCCTCCACAACACTTTTCTTTTGTCTTTTTGATAATCGTCAATTTAAAAGCAGTGAGATGATATCTAATTATGGTTTTGATTTGCATTTCCTTGATGATTAGTGAGGTTGAGCATCTTTTTATGTACATATTAGTCATTTGTATGTCTTCTTTGGAAAAAATGTCTATTAAGTTTCCCCTGCCCATTAAAAAAATCCAATTATTTGGGGGTTTTGGGTTATTAAGTTGTATGTGTTTTTTATATATTTTGGATATTAAACCCTTATCAGATAGATGGTTTGCAAATATTTTCTCGCATTCCATAGATTACCTTTTCATTTTGCTGATTGTTTTTTTCTGCGCACAGCCTTTTACGTTGATTTAGTCTCACCTGTTTATTTTTGCTTTTTCTGCCTTTTCTGTTGTGTCATATCCAAAAAATCATTGCCAAGGTCAATGTTAAGGAGCTCTTTCCTCATGCTTTCCTCTAGGAGTTTTACAGTTTCAGGTCTGATGTTTAAGTCTTTAATCCATTTCAAGTTTATTTTTCGGTAGTGTTAGATAAGGGTCCAATCTCATTCCTTTGCATGTGAATATCTGGTTTCCCCAGCACTATTTATTAAAAAGAATAACAAATGTTGGAGAGGGTGTGGAGAAAAGGTAACCCTCTTACACTATTGGTGGGAATGTAAATTGGTTCAGCGACTATGGAAAACAGTATGGAGGTTCCTCAGAAAACTAAAATTGACTTGCGATATGATCCAACAATCCCACTCATAGGCATATACCCAGACAAAACTATAATTTGAAAAGATACATGTACTATGTTCATAGCAGTACTATTTACAAGCCAAGACATGGAAACAACCTAAGTGTCCATCAATAGATGAATGGATAAAGATGTATTTTATATATATATATAAAATATTCCATTATATATATTATGTAGTTAATTTAATATACATAATTATAATAATTATTATTAATATAAAAATAATATAAATATTATAATATAATATATAATAAATCATATATAACATAATGTATATTAATATTGCTATATATTAATATATATGATTTATATAACATATATGTAGTATAATATATTATATATTATAATACAAAATTATTATAATATAATATATAAATTATAATATAATATATAAATTATAATATAATATATATAATATTTTATTATAATGTATGTATAATATAATACCATATAATATATAATTTATTATATATAATATAAGATTTATTGAATATGATATAATATTTAATTTAATTTATTTATTTCTTTATTTTATATAATATTAAAATATAATTTATAATATACTATACTATCATATAATATAGTAAATAATAAATCATATATAAATAGAATATTATTAATATATAATATATTATATATTATAATATAAAAATTATATTAATATATTAAAATAATATATAATATATATACGTATATATATGCCTGAGTCACTTTGCTGTGCAGAAGAAATTAATAGAACACTGTAAATCAACTATAATTCAATAAAATTAAAAAGAGAGAGAGACTATCATTTCACTATTCAGTTTTCTTGGCGCTCTTGTCAAATATTAGTTGACCATATATTGCTGAATTTATTTCTGTGCTCTGAATTCTGTTCCATTGGTTTAGGTGTCTGTCTTTATGCCAGTACCATACTGTTTTGATTACTATAGCTTTGTAATAAAGTTTGAAATCAGGGGTTGTGATGTATCCAGCTTTGCTCTTCTTTCTCAGAACTGCTTTCAACTAGTTGGGGTCTTTTGTGGTTCCATATGAATTTGAGGACTGTTTTTGCTCTTTCTCGAAAATAGCCCTTGGAATTTTATAAAATATTTATTTTTTTATTTTTATATTTTTTATTTTTTTGCGGTACATGGGCCTCTCACTGCTGTGGCCTCTCCTGTTATGGAGCACAGGCTCCGGACGCGCAGGCTCAGTGGCCATGGCTCATGGGCCCAGCCGCTCCGCGCATGTGGGATCTTTCCAGACTGGGGCACGAGCCCGTATCCCCTGCATCAGCAGGCGGACTCTCAACCACTGCGCCACCAGGGAAGCCCTATTTTATTTTTTTTAATTTTTGGCTGCATCAGGTCTTAGTTGTGGCCTGAGGAATCTTTGTTGCAGCATGCAGGCTTCTCTCTAGTTGTGGTGTGTGAGTTTTCTCACTCTAGTTGTGGTTTGTGGGCTCCAGAGCAAGTGGGCTCTGTAGTTCACGGCAAGCAGGCTCTCCAGTTGAGGCATGCAGGCTCAGTAGTTGTGGCACATAGGCTTAATTACCCCATGGCATGTGGGATCTTAGTTCCCCGACCAGGTGTCAAACCTGCGTCCCCTGCATTGGAAGGCGGATTCTTTACCACTGGACCACTGGGGAAGTCCAAGCCCTTGGAATGTTGATCAGGATTTCTTTCAATCTATAGATGGCTTTGGGTAGAATGGACATTTTAACAATATTAATTCTTCCAATGTGTGAACACAGGCTCTCTTTCCATTTATTTGTGTCCTCTTCAATTTCTTTTATCAGGGTCTTGTAGTTTTCACTATATACATCTATCATTTCCCTTGTTAAATTTACTAGTAATTATATATTTTTGGATATTATTGTGCATGTGATTTTTATCTTTATTTCTTTTTGAGATAGTTCATTGTTTTATTTATTTATTTATTTGTACAATCTTGTTACTAGTACAAAGTCTATGTAATTTACTTATTTATTTATTATTCTTTATTGGAGTATAATTGCTTTACAATGGTGTGTTAGTTTCTGCTTTATAACAAAGTGAATCAGTTATACATATACATACATTCCCATATCTCTTTCCCTCTTGCATCTCCCTCCCTTGCACCCTCCCTATCCCAACCCTCCAGGCAGTCACAAAGCACCGAGCTGATCGCCCAGTGCTATGCGGCTGCTTCCCACTAGCTATCTACCTTACGTTTGGTAGTGTATATGTGTCCATGCCTCTCTCTTGCTTTGTCACAGTTTAGCCTTCCCCCTAGCAATATCCTCAAGTCCATTCTCTAGTAGGTCTGTGTCTTTATTCCTGTCTTAGCCCTAGGTTCTTCATGATATTTATTTTTTCTTAAATTCCATATATATGTGTTAGCATACGGTATTTGTCTTTCTCTTTCTGACTTACTTCACTCTGTATGACAGACTTTAGGTCTACCCACCTCATTACAAATAGCTCAATTTCATTTCTTTTTATGGCTGAGTAATATTCCATTGTATATATGTGCCACATCTTCTTTGTCCATTCATCCAGTGATGGACACTTAGGTTGTTTCCGTCTCTGGGCTATTGTAAATAGAGCTGCAATGAACACTTTGGTACATGACTCTTTTTGAATTTTGGTTTTCTCAGGGTATATGCCCAGTAGTGGGATTCCTGGGTAATATGGTAGTTCTGTTTGTAGTTTTTTAAGGAACCTCCATATTGTTCTCCATAGTGGCTGAACCAATTCACATTCCCACAAGCAGTGCAAGAGTGTTCCCTTTTCTCCACACGCTCTCCAGCATTTATTGTTTCTAGATTTTTTGATGATGGCCATTCTGACTGGTGTGAGATGACATCTCATTGTAGTTTTGATTTGCATTTCTCTAAGGATTAATGATGTTGAGCATTCTTTCATGTGTTTCTTGGCAGTCTCTATATCTCCTTTGGAAAAATGTCTTCTGCCAATTTTTGCATAGGGTGGTTTGTTTTTTTGTTATTGAGCTGCATATAAATTTTGGAGATTAATCCTTTGTCAGTTGCTTCATTTGCAAATATTGTCTCCCATTCTGAGGGTTGTCTTTCGGTCTTGTTTATGGGTTCCTTTGCTGTGAAAAAGCTTTGAAGTTTCATTAGGTCCCATTTGTTTATT